GGCTGATAAATACCCAAATTCTGATGGACTTCATCCTCAGCTTTTAGAAGCTGGTAGTGAGATGGTCAATAGATTGGTTTAAATTTTCCAAAAGTTTTGTTTTGATTCAGGAATATTCCCATTAGGTTGGAAGACAGCAAATGTAATGCCTTTATTCAAAAGGGGAGGGAGACACAAGCTGGAAAGTATCGGCTAGTTAGCTTAACGTCTGTCATAGGGAAAATGTTTGAAGCTCAAGGCACTTAGAGTTAAGTTCAATGTAATCAGGTGAGTTAAAATGTCATTGTGAAAGAGAAACTATGTTTGACCAATCTATTGCAGTTTTTTGAAGAGTTAACACATGCTATGAATAACGGGGATGTTCTATACTTAGATTTCCTAGAAGGCATTTGCTCTAGTGCCACATTGAAGATTACTGCAGAAAATAAAGGTTTATCGTGTATGAGGTAGCATATCAGCATGAACAGAAGATTGGCTGGCTAACAGGTGAAAGAGACTGGGCATAAATGGGTCTTTTTCTGATTGGTCAGGTGTAACAAACAGAATTGATACTAGAACCTCACTTGTTTATGATTACTATAAATGACTTTGATGAAAGGACAAGAGGTATGTTTGTCTAATTTGCTGATAACCAATGTTCCCTCTAAGCGACCATGCAATACTTCAAGTTTCTTCACACACTAATCTGCATGATTGGCATGTTGATGCATTGAATTCCAGGTTTGGAAGTCACTGCCATGAATGGACCTAAGAGGAATGTGCACTGAAAATAAATTAGAGAGCATTTTGCTCATGACAGAAAAATAGGTAGGAAAGTAAGTTGTGAAGGAGGCTACAAAAAACATATAGATTAAGGGAGTAGGCGAAGTGATGACAAATGGAGTACAATGTGGGCAAATGAAAAATTGTTCATTTTAGCAGGAAGAATTAAGGGAAAAAAAACAATGACCTAAATGGTGAGAGATTGCAGAAGCATCTAAGGGTCCTAATGCATGAATCACAAAAAGTTGCAAGTCTTGGGAGCCATGGTAAGTAAGTTGGAGAGCTACACCAGAAGTCAGTCACAAATCTGGTTAGATATCAGTCAGGAGCTGTACATCCAAGTCTGGTGGCTGATGATCAGTCTGACGGGTCAGTTCAATGAAAGGCAAGGATAGGGATGTTATCATTGTTGTGGTAGGAAAGCTGGGGAATTCAATAGTAGGGAGTGCAGGCATTATGTTGAGATGCAGATAGGATAACAATTGTGAGGGGTGCTAAAAGATAGAATATGCATGGGCAAGGGATAAAGCAGGAGTGTGTGGTGTATGTGTGTCATCAACAGTCAGCACCATCCTGGTTCAAAATGGGCAGAACAGTTGACAACATAATGCTGCCATAATGATGCAGTACGTCTGAAGATCAGAGAATAAAGCGAGGAGTTGAACTCTTCTATACATGGGTTGGATGGGAACATTGGGAAATCAAAGCTGATAGGATTGTCAGGTAGGGCCATGAAGAGGAGAATATGAAAATTTGAGGGGTTGGTCAGAGCGGCTGTATCTGAGTCATTCCATGAAGCATGACCACTGTTTCCTTTCATCATCAACCAAAGACCAACTGCACTATAGAGATGGAAATGATTGCCACCACACCCAGAGTGGGTGGAGTAAGTGTTCCATTTTGTGAGACAGGGATCACTCACTTTTGTGTGACATGAGGCCCTACAAAGGGCATTGGCAAAAGACACCTGCAATCACAAAATACTGTATGTAAACTATAGTAAATAAAGTTGCCATAGTTCCACTCTCTCATTAGAGAGAGAGAGACAACTTGTAGTGGTTTAACCTGAGGGTCACCATACTGCAGGTGAATAAAGAGGCTGAGAAAGAGGGACCTTAAAGGTAACCTACGCCAGTCTCGGAATTGAACATGCACTGTTGGTGTTCCAGTGCATTACAAATGAGTTGTCTAGCCAACTGAGTTAACCAACATTTTACACCTCAACAGTTACACCTCATTTTCTGCTTGGGGACCCTACAGTCCTCCGGACTCAATATTGAGTTCAATAATTTTAGGACCTAAACTCTCCCATGTCCCAGCCCCCTACCCCACACACCAGGCCTTGTTACCACATAGCCTGCCATTACACACCCCCTGTTGTTAGTCACTAACAGTCCCCATTAACAACTATTCACCCTCCCAGCCTGATCGTTAGCAACTCCTTTGTCTGTCCAACTGTCTTTCTCTCTCTTTGGGCTCTATCCTATTGTTTACTCCCTACTCCACCCACCTCCCTATTTTCTGCATATAAACCATCAGTTCTGAGGAAGAGTCACCGGACCTGAAACATTAACGCAGTTTTCTCCTTCACAGATGCTGCCAGACCTGCTGAGCTTTTCCAACAACTTTGTTTTTGTTCTTGAGTTAACCAACTTCCCATGTGAACTGTGTGCATCAACCTACTGTATGGAGTACACATCTTGGCCACAAGCACTCTTCACCACATCATGCAGCTTCAGGAATCAATCCAATTAATGGCTAGAATGCACAAGCAATGTATTGAAGTCTAGAAAGATTGACCCTAGACGCCAAAGTAGCATTCACCTTCCAAGGTCCCATAGCCTGTACATGGTGCATGAGTTGCTCACTTCATACTTAGGCCATAAGACATCATGTCGTACTAAGGATGGCTAGGATCTGTGTCTTCATTCTTGTCGTTACAAATATAAAGACACTTGTTCACCCAGCCGATGATGAAAAGTGAACATATATTGCCAAAATGGCAAACTTATTTACAATGAAGTTTCACCCATAGCACACTTGTGCCCTCAGAAGGTCACGTTCTTCCTCTCCCTGCCACGTACTTTAACCAGAAATGTTTTCTTCACCTGGAAGATACAAGCCCAGGGCTCATCTGCTTCCATCTACACTTTTTTTCTCTTTTTCTTTTGTCTTTTGCTCTGTTTCTATTTGCATTTTATGGTGTCTTCAGCAGGCATCAGCGAGAGCGAGACCAGAATGGCAGCAATGAATTGGGAGTGCATATTCCAGGATTTGGCAGTGGCAGGAACAAATTCAAGGAGTGAGTTTTGAGGTGAGTTCTGAGGGCCTGCAGCAGCAGTGGGAGCAAATTCCGAGGGTTGACTGGTCGTGGCAGCATTGAGACCTGAGGCTTTGGGGAGGGAGGCCCATATCTTACTGAAGTAAGACTACCTTATGGAGATAAGACTTCTGGATTTGGATACTTCCCCCTTTCTTCTTAGCTTTTTTTTTGTAGTTCTGCTTATTTTAAAAATTTTTGGTGCTTGTACCTAAGATGGTTGTTTTCTTAAATTTGGGTTTTTGTACCTAAGATGACGCCAGAGAATAGCGACTTTGTACACTTTTCACTGTACTCCTGTACAACTGTACATGAGTACACGTGACAATAAAACCTAATTCTAAGTTTGACAAGTCAGGGTGGAATTCACAAGGATTGGCCATAACACTATTATGAAGTGCTGTCAGTACAGATTATTATCTGAATGGCTATAAATTGAGAGAGGGGAATGTGCAAAGGGATCTAGGGGTCCTTGAACACCAGTCGCTGAAGGTAAGCATGCAGTTAGAGCAGACAGTAAAGAAAGCAAATGATATGTTGGGCTTCATAGCAAGATGGTTCAAGTACAGGAGCAGGAATGTCTTGTTGCAGTTAGGGCATTGGTCAGACCACAGCTGGACCACAGACCACAGGAATAGTTTTTTCAGTTTTGGCCTCCTTATCTGTGGAAGGATGTTCTTGCTATAGAGGGAGTGCAATGAAGGTTTGCCGGAATGATTTGTGGGATTGTTGAACTGGTGAATGAACTGAGGTTGAATCAGTTAGGACTATATTCACTGAAGTTCAGAAGAATGAGGAAGTATCTCACAGAGACCGATAAAATTCTAACAGGACTAGACAGGGTGGTCATGGGAGGGATGTTCCTGATGGCTGTGGAGCACAGAACCAGGGTCACAGTCCAAGGATATGAAATAAACTATTTAGGACTGAGTTGAGGAGAAGTTTCTTCACACAGAGTAGTGAGCATATGGAATTCACTACCATAGAAAGTAATAGAGACCAAAAAATTGTATGAGTTCAAGGAAGAGTTGAATGCAGCACTTGGGGTTTAAGGGATCAAAGGATAGGGGAAAGCAGGAATGGGCTATTGAGTTGAATGATCAGCCTATTCCTGCTCCAATGCTCTGTTTCTACATTTTCTATGTAATCAAAATGGAGAAATTGTAGCTAAAGTTGAGAAGACGTTGGATCGAATTAAGAGAACTATGCAATGAAAATTAAATAGAACAATTTTGTCACAATAAGCTCATGGCAAAGGTTATATGGAGTACTTTGTCCACATAATGAGTGATGTACAGCCCTTGGGAAAGGTGACCTTCAAGACTATTTCCAGTTTTAGGATTCTTGGCCACTCAAATAAACTCAAGGATCTTTTTGTCTATTTACTTTAAAGCAGTATAGACATACATAGAGACCTATAAAGTGCCTAGAATTTAATTCCAATTTAACAGATTAAGGATATGTGGTTAAGGAGACAGTGGGACAGTTTTTCTTTTCCAAAAGAGCAGTTAATCTCTCGAATATATTGCCAGCTGGTGTGGAAGATGATGATTGGTAGTTTTAAGAGGGATTTGGGTGCTTTGTAACTGGGCATAGATTGTAGACAATAAGAATCTTTATGGATTTGTGTGTGTAATTCCCTAGATTGAGGCAATAGAGAAGAATTAACTTATGCAATTTCCCCTTACTGGCCCTGAAATTTTTTGTTTATCCTTTTTGTCGTTTCCAAGAAATTATATGGCTACCAGGATAGAGGAAGCAAATAAATGTTTAAACATGATGCTCTCGTCATCATGAGAATGGGACAGGCTTGGCAGATTACCTTTCTTTCTGTTGCCAATTTTGTATATAATTGCGAACATTTGTAAGTTTACTAATGCTACTATATAAAATGATAAATGCTTAAGCTGCATCTTACCATAAGTGAAACTGGGTGTTCTATCTGCAGAGAAAAATATGAAAATTAATGTGTGATCAAGTACTTAAATAGTTTAAGATAGTTCAATGGTGAACATCCCTGCAATATCTTCTGGGTTACATGAGAATATGTAAATTTTTTAGGTGCGTCAATTAAAAAGATCTAAAAGTGAAGATGCTTGCAAATATCATTAATTTATATTTGACAAAGAAACTGTTGCATCTGTACAACATTTTGCTACAATTAACTGAAACAGTTCAAAATCCAAATGTATGTGAATTACTTACAGTGAAAGCTAGGTGTGGCTATTGATGTTTCTGGAAAACATTAAAACTTTGATGTATTGAAACAAGTTTTAAAAATCTGAGTCCAACATTTTTTCTATAATTCTAACTTAGAATTTTATTTCTAAAATAATTAAATAATTTCTGAAACAGTGTTGAATTCTATATTTAATTATTAACTAATAGATAGCTTAATGATTTGGAAACACTGAAAAAATTAACAATTTGTAAGGTTAGTTTTGCAACACATCTTGGTTCATGTGCATTACAACTGAGAGCGTGGCTCAGAGGCATCAACTGTTAATAATGTCAGTTTAATAGAGATACACCTCCATGGGACAAAAAAAGGCCAGGATTGGTTCAAAAAAGTCACTCTTTTGCTCAGATGCCAAATTAAATATTTGGTTGACAACAGTTCTTTTCACATAGCCAATGGCTAATAGCAGCATGAGGAAGTTGTAAACAGCAGTGAAGGAAGCATTTCCCCATGAACTCTGCAATTTATAATTTATAAAATCTAAATTCACACAAATGTGTCTCCAAATAATTTCTGCTGCTCTTCAATCGATATTTTAACACAACAGTGGTGTTCAAGGACAATCTCCTTCCACTTTTCCAACCTATTTCTCATTTTCATGACTGTGAATCCTTAGAGGAACATTAGTGGTTAAAGATAAATTTGAAAACTGAGTGATTAACTGAAAGAACCACGCTAAAAGATTTCACATTATTAAATTAACAAAACTTTACATAAAAAATTAAACAGAGCTCGTGCTACTCATTTAACACCAAAGCTTTTACAGACTAAAATTATAAATCCAATTCTACTTTTGACTTCCCAAGCCCTCTCACGAGAAGTCTCTCACAGTTTAACAAATTTTTAAATTTCATTCATTTCTTCTGAGACAAACCTAAGCTATTCAGCAGTTCTCTGGAATTCACTTTGGTCTTCTTCATGTTCCATCTATTCTGTGAGCTACAAGATTTTCACATGGATCCTTCCATTAGCTTTTGGCTATGCAACCCTCCAAATTTCCTTTAAGACCTCAAAATTAATTTCATGCATAGGGCCTTATTGCATTATTGCTTAGTGGTTTAAAATTAGGAACACTCTTGGTTCCTAATGACCCCTGTGCTCGTAGTCCCACGGCAGATTCACAGCATCTGTTCCCACGTCTCCTGCTGACTGACCAAACTAACTGCTTCCAAACTACAAACGTTTAAAACAAAGAAATGGACTTAACTGCCAAAGCTCATATCCATGACAACAGGTAGAATATTCTTTATCCCATTCAACAGAACAGTTTGATTTTGTAACCAACATGAATGATTAATATCTCTACTGGATATATTTGCACTCTCTATAAACTACTTGCTTTGCAAAGAAACACTTATATTTGCAAACTGCTCTGAGTTTCTTTTATTCTGCAATCTACGTGAATAATTTAATGCCTTATTGGTTCAATGTAGGCATCACGGTTATACCAAAGTCAAAAAATAAATCATCCATTGTTTAAGGATCTTCCTTAATCAATGCTGAACTTATTGAATAAAACAGGTTATTTTTTAATTGTAATTAAAATAGCTTGTTTGATTTGCATCTACATCAGGGTTGTTAACCAATTTCGCAATCAGGTGTTTCTATTTATCTTATAATTACAAATCACAAATCCCAAACCAAAAGTCATAATTTGAAAGCACACAACTTGAGAAATTGGATATTTTCAATACTATCTTCAAGTTACAAACTGACCATATTCTTTCAGTCATGTAATTAATTATCATTTTGAGGAATACAGCTAAGACCAATGTGAATGTGTAATGCAACATACAATTTCCCTTCATCTGCTTCCACTGGTATTCTCATTTCTACTCTATTGATATACTTTCTTCTTTTGCTATATTGTTTCTGGTTGATGCCCTTTTCTCTCCTGCACACAAAGCTACCAGAGCCAGTGCTTTACACTTTGGTTACTGAGGTGGCTCGGGCTTGCCATCATGGTTTCCTTCATATATTTGTCTTCATAAAGAATTTCTTACACTTGTATAGGAACTTACAATTTCCAGTAGTCCCACCAAATTAAGATTGACTTTTTTCTTCACTTACTTAATGCATATCCTGGAGGACCATAATGTTTTTGTTGTATTAGGACATTTTCTGAAAAATAAATAAAAATACACATCTACTTATATTTTTAAATAGATCTGCCGTGTATAGAGGTCATTGAAGACCAGTTAGCAAAAGTAAATAATTTGTTTTGCATTTTCCAGTTGTTGCCTTCCTCTGCATAGTTACAAGAGGAAAACAGAGTGCAAACATACAGAAAAGAGAGGCACATGTTGAGGAAACAGGAAAGAACAAGCATGAATGGTCTACTCATGCTCCTGTGTTCTTATGTTAGAGGAATACAAAATATCAGATGTATATAAGTATAGATGTACATACATATACAAAAGTATCCATTTATATAAAAGCAGAGAATAGTGGGAGTGCTCACCATGTTGGGCAGCATCTGAGGAAAAAGAATACAGTCAAAAACATTTAGTTTGCATTTATATGGCACCTTTAATGTTGAAAAACATTCCAAGATGTTTCATGGGAGTGTAATCAAATGAAAATGAATGTAAGCTCTGAGAACGATGAGTAGGGAGACAGTAAGAGTGAGGATATGGGCATCAATGCTGGAGGAGAGAAAATGGCAGATAATAATGCCAGACATATCTTGGTTAGTGAAGGTCATAGAGCCAGGCATTTGAATTGTGTAATACACAAAGCATATCTGACATCCAGAACAGAATTTGTCCTGGCCAACATTCAATGCCTCAAATGGAGCTGCGAGGTTTCATTGTAACTAAAGAAACTGAAGCCATAACTGAAGACTGCAGCTTTCTGATTGGTAGTTAAGTGAACACTCAACTGTTCAGCGCTACAGACAAACTATATCGAAAGAAAGTGGGAAGTGTGGCCTAGCTTTTGAGGCAGGTATAGTGACACATAATAGGGCTCCACGCTGCCCAAGACATCTCAAAACTCAAAGATCTGTCATGAGAGATTGGATTGATAGCAGAGATTTGATGCAAAGTAGGGGTTGCAAATTAAACTTTTGCACAGAGCCCACATTGCAGTTCCTGTCATAAAATTCCAATATCTCCAAATGTACAAACAATCAATGATCGCCAAGAAATTGGGCTGAATATTATTGTGACAGCAGAAGTCCTGCCAATGGTGCTGAAAGAAGGATGAGGCCCTGCTTCACTGGAAGCAATCCCGAGGATGGCAGCCTGTCAGAGGGTGGGCAGCTCAGTAAACTTAGCATTACAGTGGTCATTTCTGAGGCAACAAAACCAGAGAGATGGAGCGTCTGAGAGAAGTAACCAGGCTTGCCATCATGGTTTCCTTCATATATTTGTCTTCATAAAGAATTTCTTACACTTGTATAGGAACTTACAATTTCCAGTAGTCCCACCAAATTAAGATTGACTTTTTTCTTCACTTACGTAATGCATATCCTGGAGGACCATAATGTTTTTGTTGTATTAGGACCTTTTCTGAAAAATAAATAAAAATACACATCTACTTATATTTTTAAATAGATCTGTCATGTATAGAGGTCATTGAAGACCAGTTAGCAAAAGTAAATAATTTGTTTTGCATTTTCCAGTTGTTGCCTTCCTCTGCATAGTTACAAGAGGAAAACAGAGTGCAAACGTTCAGAAAAGAGAGGCACATGTTGAGGAAACAGGAAAGAACAAGCATGAATGGTCTACTCATGCTCCTGTGTTCTTATGTTAGAGGAATACAGAATATCAGATGCATATAAATATAGATGTACATACATATACAAAAGTATCCATTTATATAAAAGCAGAGAATATTGGGAGTGCTCACCATGTTGGGCAGCATCTGAGGAAAAAGAATACAGTCAAAAACATTTAATTTGCATTTATATGGCACCTTTGATGTTGAAAAACATTCCAAGATGTTTCATGGGAGTGTAATCAAATGAAAATGAATGTAAGTTCTGAGAACGATGAGTAGGGAGACAGTAAGAGTGAGGATATGGGCATCAATGCTGAAGGAGAGAAAATGGCAGATAATAATGCCAGACATATCTTGGTTAGTGAAGGTCATAGAGCCAGGCATTTGAATTGTGTAATACACAAAGCATATCTGACCTCCAGAGCAAAATTTGTCCTGGCCAACATTCAATGCCTCAAATGGAGCTGCAAGGTTTCATTGTAACTAAAGAACACTGAAGCCATAACTGAAGACTGCAGCTTTCTGATTGTTAGTTAAGTGAACACTCAATTGTTCAGCGCTACAGACAAACTATATCGAAAGAAAGTGGGAAGTGTGGCCTAGCTTTTGAAGCAGGTATAGTGACACATAATAGGGCTCCACGCTGCCCAAGACATCTCAAAACTCAAAGATCTGTCATGAGAGATTGGATTGATAGCAGAGATTTGATGCAAAGTAGGGGTTGCAAATTAAACTTTTGCACAGAGCCCACATTGCAGTTCCTGTCATAAAATTCCAATATCTCCAAATGTACAAACAATCAATGATTGCCAAGAAATTGGGCTGAATATTATTGTGACAGCAGAAGTCCTGCCAATGGTGCTGAAAGAAGGATGAGGCCCTGCTTCACTGGAAGCAATCCCGAGGATGGCAGCCTGTCAGAGGGTGGGCAGCTCAGTAACCTTAGCATTACAGTGGTCATTTCTGAGGCAACAAAACCAGAGAGATGGAGCGTCTGAGAGGAGTAACCAGGCAAATCCCGAGCAATCAGGGCTGGTGGTGGTGGGGGGAGAGGGTGAGTACGAGCAGCACCATTATTAAAGGGGTGGCCTTTGTTGCTGGCATACACCTTGAGATTGCTGCAAGCCTGAGGGCTAAACTGGGTGTTCTCTGATGTGGTGATGGTTGCTGAACTGCAGAATAGAATATGTGGCTCTTAATTGTAAGGGGATCACTGACCTCCAGGAAAGCCTATTGCCAAGGGACTGATTAAATTTCCAGCACATTTTTCTTGGTTAAAACGTTTGATGGTTTTGCCTGGCAGCAGAATAGATTGAAGGTTACATTGCAACAACTTTGTGTATGTAAGTCAAAGTAATTGACATCTACCAAGGAAAATGAGTTTGCTGTTGGTAGAGCCTTGTCAGGTTGTTGCAGTGAACCTTGTAGATGGTGCACACTGCTACTACTATACATTGGTGGTGGTGAGAGTGAATGTAGAAGGTGTTAGATAGGGTGCCAATCAAGTGGGCCTTCATCTCCTTCAGTGTTGCTGGAACTGCTCTCAAGCAGGCAAATCAAGAGTATTCCATCACACTGAGATAACAAGGTGTAGAGCTGGATGAACACAGCAGGCCAAGCAGCATCTGAGGAGCAGGAAAGCTGATGTTTCGGGCCTAGACCCTTCTTCAGAAAAGCCATCACACTCCTGATTTGTATCTTATAGTTGGGTACAGACTTTGAGAAAACAGAAAGTGAGTTACTCACTGCAGAATTCCCAGTCTCTGACCTGCTGTTATAGCCACAGCATTTATATAGCTGGACCAGTTTAGTTCTGTTCAAAGGTAACCTCCAGGATGTTGATAGTGGGGGACTCAATGATGGTAGTAACATTAAATGTTAAGACATAATGCTTAGATTCTCTCTAGTTGGAAATGGTTATTGTCTGGCACTTGTGTGGCATGAATATCATCTGCCACTTATCAGCCAAAACAGACGAATGATGTCTTGCTAAACATTGTGACTCGTTAGCAAACATCCCAACCTCTAACCTAACAATGAAGGCAAGGTCTTGCTGAAGCAGCTGAAGATGGTTGGGCCTAGGACACTACCCTGAAAAACTCCTGCAATGATGTCCTGAGGCTAAGATTATTGACATCAAATAACACAAACATTTGCCTTTGTGCAGATGACTCCAAGCAGTGAAGACTTTACCTGTGATTCCAGTTGACTCCTGTTTTGCTCTGCTCCTTGATGCCACAGTTTTCAAATGCAGACGTGATGTCAAGGGCAGTCACCCTCACTTTCCCTCTTGAATTCAATTCCTTTATCCATGTTTGGACAAAGGCTATAATGAGATCAGGAACTGAGTGTAATTGGTGGAATCTCTTAGCGACCAGGTTATTATTGAGTAAGTACTAGTTGATAGTACTGTCGATGACACCTTCCATCACTTTGCTGATGATTAAGAGCAGGCTGATAAGCAATTTGGATTGTTCTACTTTTTGTGGACAGGATGTACTTGGGCAATCTTCCACATTGCCAGGTAGCTCCCCAGTGTTACAAATGTGCTGGAACAGCTTGGCTAGGGCTGCGACTAGTTTTGGAGCAAAGTCTTTAGTATAAGTGCCAAATGTTGCCAGCACAGATAGAAGTATCCAATGTATTCTGTGTTCTCTTGATATCATGCAGAGTGAATCAAATTAGCTTTGATGATGCTTTGGGAGGCCAAGATGGATCATGCACCAGCACTTCTGATTTAAGATGCTGCAAATACTTCAGCCATGTCTTTTTATTCTAATACATTATGCACTGCATAGCATCGGTACTTTCATTTTAAAAGGGTATATCTACCTCTAAGGAACAATATAATGGAAGATCAACTATCTTCCTCCCATGCAATTAATTCCCTTTGGTGCCTTTAATAGTCATATGAAAAGTCTTATTTAGGGTGTTTTTCTTTTGTGAAAGTTAGCTTTTGCTTTTATTGAATATGAACTTTATTTTATTACGGTTTTACTTGTGAAAGTAGAGAACTTGAATAGATGAGTAAATGAAAATTTAATCTATCCGTTAAGATTAATAAGTAGCTTTTTAAATCTAACCTACACAGAATATGCTGACTGATATACTAGGTGAATGTCAACTGCAAAATCAAGACTGAATGAAAGGTAATTGTAATCAAACATTACCATCTTCTGACGGTTTGTCAGCCACAAAGCTGTCATTCTTATTTTCCTCTGGTTTTGTGACAACCATTGACGTTAATGGGGTTACAAAGCTGTACTTGAGTGACAGTTCCAGGATTCTGTCTGTTAGGATTTTCTTTTCATTTGCCACTGCCGAAACCCTGAATGCAACAATTGATAACAATTAATTTTGCAATTTTTTTTTTCCATTGCTGTAAATACTTGTGCTGCCATTTAAACAAGCATTGCAATAATTTTTAACTGTTTATGTGATTTTCTCTATGAGTTGTTATGATCCAAGCTTTTGGTAATACTGGACATGTCAGATCTTAGAATGAAACCTAGTTCGATAGATCGTAAGTTTTATTTTTGCAGCTTGATTACCATAATGATCAGCGACTAAACATATTCACACATGGCTACCAACGTACTTTAAACAAAATAACATAAGTTTACTGCACAAAAGAGAAGAAAAAACAAAGCTATGTATATGACACTTTGGAAAGATCTAACCTTGAGGAAAAATTCAACACTTTCTCATAACAATATTCTTTAAAGACACCTAATCCCAATGACGTATCACTCCTATCTTAATTCTTTAATTCCTTACTGAACTGGTGAGGTTGCCTCCTCTCAGACTTTCTGCATAGTCACTAGATGTGATTTTCTCCATTACTGTCTCTCCCTGCGATACACAGACACTATCCAATTCCCTGACATTTCCTTGACAAACTTTAAGAAAAGCCCTGTCTACTTGAAGTGCTAAACAGGTTAAGAATTTTTTACAGTTCTGATAGGCTGGAGATGTCTTTCCAGCTCTGTTATCGTGGAGACTGCCAGAAACTCAACTGCTCTCTGCTAGTATGAATTCTTTATTCTCAACTGAAACCTGATTATGGCCCATAACCTTTTTTCTGTTACCATAGAAGTTCAACTTTGCAAACACTTCTTCAAATAAGTGTTGCTTGCTAGACATTTAACTTAAGTCACATGCTTTCCTGAAAATGATGTTTGAGCTCACTATTGAAAAATGACTTCCCAACCTTTTGTAATAAATAAGTCATCTTCATAGAAGTAAAACAAAAAACTTCTACTTTATAATCTAAATTCCCAAATTATAGTAATGTGTATTAACCCTTTGTCAAAAAATAATCAAAACAGATAATCACACTGGAATGATTACTACCATTTTGCACTGATGACAGCCGCAGTTAGTAAGAATGAAGGGTTACAAAGGTTAGCAATCAAAATGTCAACCTACCTGTTAGGTGCTGATAGATCAGCTTTGATATTAATCATTGCTTTTACATAAATGATATTTTTAAAATTTCAGGCTCATAAACAGAAAGCTGTTTCTACTTTACCGCTTCTCCAATAGCTGTTGTATGGTCAAATAAGCCCACAGTCGCTCAGTAAAGTCACCAAAAATGTATTGCTGCTGCTGAGTGATATTTTCAACTTCTGATACCTGCACTTCTGCTTTTAAAGTTAGGTTTTCATTGGCCTGTTGGAAAATTACAGGGTTAAGTTGAACCTTGTTGAAAGTAGATCTGGAAAGTACATTAAACTTTGTTCCTTGTTCAGTGACTTAAGTTCATATTTGCAGTTAGTTATGTTTTTAAAGATTCTGTAATTTGTAATGTTTTCATTATTTCATATTAGGCATACAGTGCATTAATTATTTTCATCAATCTGAACACTGAAAACTGATAAGATTTATTCAATATATAATGAGAAGTTTTTTTTAAATATAATTTTATGTTGATTTGGGGTTTATAACTGTCCTGTCCAAAACGTACTCTTCAAAAACTTTGCTAGAACCTACTGACTAATCAGCGAGCGCATTGTTGGTTTTAAGACTTTGATGCATTTAAGTTAACTGCCTACATAGCAACATTAACTGTGCTTTGGAAGTATAGGAAGCAATTGTAAGATGAGTTGAAGGAGATGCATAGAGTGAGGACATGAATAACAATTATGGATACATGTTTTTGGTCAATGGAAACAACTCTGAGAATGTTCCAATATTTGGTGATGTGGTAGTGAGTGTTATTGTACGTTCAGGCAGTGACAATTTCATTCACAGAGGGCTGTGGAAAGAACTGACGAAGAAAATCAAGTGGACATCCCAGAAGTGTGTCTGAAAGCTCTAACCTTATGCATCGGAAGCTGTACTTCAAACCATTGGATGTTTCTCTGCAGATGTAAAGGTTGAGAATTGGGATGTGATTGAGGATGATGATAGACTGCTTCTGAGCAGGGAAATTGCTCAAACCTTTGGGATGCTACACATTGGATTAAATGTGAAATTCTATGCCAAGTTCAGGGAGGAGTTTGGATCGGTGTTGCAAGGAATTGGCAATTTGCACAACTGCCAAGAGAGATTAATCATTGATTAGAGCATGAAGCTTGTAAGTAGGCTTATACGTGGAACACCTTTTGATGTGATAGGATAAGTTGAAGCAAAGTTCAGGGGACTGATTGACCGAGATTTCATACAGCCAGTTGAAGGACGAATAATGTGGAAAAATCCTGCTGTGGTTGTGTTGCTATGTGAATGGTGAATAAAGCAGCAGTGTGAGAACATCACCCAATTTAGAAATAAAGAAAATATTACATAAAAAATAGCAGACTAGGCCATTTGGTCCATCGAACCTGCTCTGCCATTCATTATGATTATGGCTGATTATCCAACTTAATAGCCTATTCCTGTTTTTCTCTTATATCGTTTGATCCCTTTAGCCCCAAGTGCTACATCCAACTCATTCTTGAAATCATATAATGTTTTGGCCACAGTTGCTTGTTCAACTGAATTCCACAGGCTCAATTTCTCCTAATACCAGACCTAAATAGTATCCCCATATCCGTAGACTGTGACTCCTGGTTCTGAATTCCACAGTCATTGGGAACACTCTTCCTGGATCTGCCCTGTATTGTCCTATTAGAATTTTATAACTTTCTATGAGATCTTTCCTCATTCTTCTGAACTCCAGCAAGTTTAATCCTAACCAATTCAACTTCTCTTTATATATCAGTCCTGCCATCCCAAGGAATCAGTCTGGTAAATCCTTGCTGCGCTCTCTCTATGGCAAAAAAAAATCATTCATCAGACAAGAACACCTAAACTGAGCATACTATTCCAGGTGTAGTCTCAGCAAGGCCCTGTATAATTGCAGCAAGATGTCCTTGCTCTTATACTTGAATCCTCTTGCTATCAAGGCGAACATACCATTTGCCTTCCTAACAGCCTGCTGTATCTGATGCTTACCTTCAGCGACTAGTTTACGAGGACACCCAGATCTCATTGCACATTCCATCTCAATTTATAGCATTCAGATAATAACCTGCCTTCCTGTTTTTGGTACCAAAATGGATAATCTCACATTTGTCCACATCATACTGCATCTGCCATGCATTTGCCCGCTCACTTAGCTTGTCCAAGCATCTGTGCATCCTCCTCACAGTTCACCCTCCTACCCAGCTTTGTGTCATGTACAAATTTGGAAATATTGTATGTATTGTGAATAGTTGGGGGTCTTTGCATTGATCCCTGAGATACCCTACTAGTCTCTTCCTGCCATTCAGAAATATATCACTTATTACAACACTTTGTTTCCTGTCTCTCTACTGGTTTTCTATCCATTTTAATACTATCCCCCCATCCCTTGCACTTTAATTTTACACGCTATTCTCTCTTTCGAAAGTCTGAGGAAAGTCCAAATAAACCACGTCCACTGGCTCCCCCCTTATTAATTGTATTAGTCATGTCCTTGAAGAAATCTAGTACATTTGTCAAGCATGATTTCCCTTTCATAAATTCAAGCTGACTCTGCCCTATCTTGCCGTTGTTTTCCAAATGCTCAGCTATTAATTCCTTTAAAATGGGCTCCATCATTTCTTCCACTACTGATGTCAGGCTGATTGGTCTATAATTCCCAGTTTTTTCCCCTGCCTCTATCTTTAAGTAGAGGAGTTACACTAGTTTTCCTCCCATGTGAAGGAACTGTGCCAGAGACATAAGAGTCTTGGAAGATGACCACCAATGCATCCATTATTTCTAAGACCACTTCCTTAAGTGTTGTGGGATGTAAATTATCGGGCCAAGGGATTTATTAGGCTTCAATCCCATCAATTTCCACAACACCATTTCCCTACCGATACTGATTGCGTTCAGTTCCTCCTTCTCACTCAATCCTGTGTTCCATAACATTTCTTGCATGTTATTTGTGGCCTCTTTTGTGAATACAGAACCAAAGTATGTGTTTGGTTAGTCAGCCATTTCTATATTTCCCTGTTTCTGAATGTAAGGGATCTTCATTTGTTTTCACCAATCTTTTTCTCTTCACATGCCTATAGAAATTTTACAGTCAGTTTTTATGTTCCCAATAAGCCTACTCTCGTACTCCATCTTTCCTTTCAATCTTTAATATAATTATGAGAAAGAACAATGGAAAATCAAATGCAAAAGTATTCAACTGCAAGGAGGTTAATTTCAGTGAATTGAAAAGGGATCAGACTTATGGTTATAGAAATCAATACTCTGCAGGTAGAACAGTAAATGAACTTTCAAAGAAATGCTTCTTCACATGTACCTTCCAAACTGGTAACTGCTTTCACTTAGGAGAACAAGGCTAATAGGCCCATAGGAACAACCACTGCCTGAAAGTATCTCTGAAAATCACTTAACTTCCTCACTTGAAAAGATATTATCCTGAAAATCCTTATCTAACAGCACTGTGGGTTTACCTACACAGAAGTTCAAAAGATAACTCACTAACACTTTCTCAACAGAAATTAGGAATGGGCAATAAATGCTGACCCAGTAAGTGAAAAAAAACAAAAACAAGAATAGATACTTCAAGTAGAAAGTAAATACATTCTGAGGAATTCTATGGGAGGTTTCAATAGAGAGCTGGATACATATTTGAAAGTTGTGAATTTAGAGGGCTACAGGTAGAGGGCTGGTGAATTATACTGGATGGGTTGCTCTTTTGGGAGCTGGTCCTTACATGATGGGTCGAATGGCTTCTGTGCTGTAAAATTCTATAACTCTATGAGGAGGGAAAAGTACAACATTTAAATCTAGATTTCCTGAATGAATGAAGAACCTGAAAAAAATTGGATTGTATATACACACACACACACACACACACACACACACACACACACACACACACATATATATAGAGGGTTTCGATAGAGCGAAAAAGAAACACTGCCAGGAGCATTTAGGTCAGTAACTAGAGGACATAGATTCAAAAGAGTTAGTAAAAGAAATGTAAGTGACAGGAAGAAACCATTTTCTAATGCAGTGAATTGTTATGATTGTGCATTACCTGACAGTGATGAAGCAGATTCAGTTATCAGTTTCAAAAGAGAATTGAATAAATATTTGAAGTAGAAAAACGTTGCTGGGCTACTAATGGGATATGAGCAAGGGACTAATTGATTCACTCTTTCAAAGAATCATTGCAGGCAAAATGAATCAAATGGTCTTCTGTTCTACACTACAAGTCTGCAATACAGGGAAATTTTTACTGTGGGTTCTTCTACATTTTATAAAACATAATATTTTATATCTTTATAATCTTACAACTCCCAGTAAAAAAATTATAGAAACAGAAGCCATGATAATATCATTCAAATGGGATGTAGATAATTAATTGTAAGGAAATATTTGGGTAAGGTATGAAAAAAAGGGATGAAAATAGTGTTGTGGGTTGTACTTTAATGAGCCAACATAGGCACAACGGATTAAATATTTTCTGTCAACACTGTAATAACTGTGTTCTATGATTCTTCCAAAATGTAAATAATTGAATTGGAATAAGTTTTAGAGAGTACTCACAGTTTGTGCAAAGACCTCTGCAATGAGTGACTCCAGGTTATTATCTGAAATCTTGCCAGCCACTACAATTTCTGACCCATCAAAAAACTGCTTAAAATTGGACTGAGTTAAGTCTGAAATAGCATTCTCTTGATATTGCAATTCAATGTCCAAAAGCAAGGGATTTGCCACTTCATCGTAAAAGCCCTGTGAAAAGAGAAAAAAGGATTTCTAATTAGTCATCATAATGTTGCATCTTTACCCTTTAAAATCCCACTGAAGTAAAATTGCTAGACAATTTGCTCCTGATGTTGAGAATTTGTACTTTTTTTCTACACAGCTTTAGTTCTCAATTGCACAGCTGGGTTGCTCAGGGAACATTCATAATTATTGATCATTTTAAATATCACAGCAGTGAAATATTTGTACTCTTGTCTGCCACCCAGGGGATGCGGAAATGAACTGCAGAATTCTTGGACACTGGAAGCTTTTAATTTAGTGATGCAGCATTGAGCTTCATAATACCACAAGTGTCAGGAAGAAGCTGAGGTTCATTGCACTGCAGAACAAAAAAATAGTATCACAGCCTTGGTAGTTTGACATGGTGTAAACTGTTGAAACCCAAAGGGTCTAGTTTGAATTGAAAGAAGATGGCAAACTTGTAGATAGAAGTCAAGACAAAACTACACAATGATGTCTTTTGGAAAATTAACTTCTTAAAGTACACGTCAGAGAACCTTTTCTCACAACACTGTTTCTTCCTTCCCATTCAAAGAATTCTGAAAACCTTACAGCTTACCTTGCAGCAGGACACAAATATGAGAGGCACCTTGTAAGTGAAGCAAAAACAAAATACTGCAGCTATTAGAAATCTAAAACAAAAAGTGCTGGAGAAAACTCAGCAGGCCAGGCAGCATCTGTCAACAGAAAGAGAGTTAACATTTCAATTTTAATGTTACAATTCAGAACGTGAGAATAAACTATCTTCTAAAAATGTAAAAGTAGCTAAAGTAAACATTGGTCTGTTAGAGATCAAACTGAAAAAAAAACGTAATGGGAAATAACAGAGACTTTGAACAAATATATTGTATCTGCCTTCATGGTAAAACATACAAAAAATACTTCAAGAATAGCAAAAGATCAAAGACCAAATGGGATAAAGAAATGAGAAATACTAACCTATCATTGGGGAAATGTACTGGAAAAGCTAATAGGACTAAAGACTGTCAGGTTCCCTGACTTGCGACCTAGGGTTTAAAATAAGTGATTGCCTAAATAGTGGATGCATTGTTGTAATCTTCCAAAATTCCCTAGATGCTGGAAGATTGAAAAACAGCAAATATAATAACTCTATTCAGGAAAGATAAGAGACACAAAGTAGGCCAGTTAGCTTAAAACCTGTGATTGGGGAAATACTGAAATCCATTATTAAGGATCTAATAGCACTGATTTTTACAAAGTTATGCTATAATCAAGCACAGTTAACATGATTTAGTGAAAGGTGAATTGCATGAACCAAATTTATAGAGTTCTTTGAGAATAAAACAACTAGAGTGAAGAAGGGGGAACCAGTAGATGTGGTGTACTTGAATCACCTAAAGGCATTTGTTAAGTTACCATATGAAAGGTAACTATACAATCTAAGAACTTGTGGTGCACAATTTTATAGTTCCCCGCTTGCAAGTTCGTTGATGGAGGTTGTCCTATGAAACTCCCCAGATAGCCTTAATGCTGCCATCACAGCCACCTTGAGCTGTCTGCAATTTTATCCAGGTAGGCAAGATCTAGGGCAGTCTGCCTGTCTTTGCCCTATTGAGGTCCTTTAGTGCCCAATTATTTGCAGTTAAGTTTTCCATTCCAGCCCACCAGAACTTTGAGCCGAGAGGGAAGAGTTCAAGGTTGGGGGTAACTCTAGCAGGGCACTCACTTGGGCCATGGGCATGAAGGAAGGTTGTACCTCCCTCAAGCCCCCTTTCTACTTTGAGCACAAAGCCTGTCCCATGGGTGCCCCCTCTTGCCCCCAACACCCAGTCTCCCTATTGAGACCTGAACCTCCTTCCCTACCAAATAGATATCACCTCCCCTCTCCAGAGATGCTACCAACCACCATTATTCTGACCTGGCCCTGGACTTAGAATCAAAGATCTGCTTGTAATCCTACCTCCTAATAACTGACAATGGTTGGTCTTACCAACCAATCAAATGCTTGAAAGATTAAATAGCTGCATGATGGCTATGTCTGTTAAGGTGCCAAAGCCAGAAACCTGAAAAATGCTGCCCATATTGTGGAGGGAAATGTATTAGCATGGATAGAGTGTTGGCTAACAGGAAACAGAGTGTCTGGACAAATAGATCATTTTCAGGTTGGTAAGCTGTAACTAGTGGGTTTCCATATGGGCCAGTACTGAGCCATCAACTATTTATAATGTACAGTAATTAGGTGAAGGGACAGCATGTATCGCAGCCAGACTTGTCGCTGATCTAAAGATAGCTAGCAAAGCAAATTATGAGGGCATCAAAAGTCTTCAAAGGGCTGTGGATAGGTTGAGTTAGTGGGCAAAATTTGGAGATGGAGAATAATATGGGAAAATGTGAGGTTGTCCACTTTGGTAGGAGGAATAGAAAAGCAAACTATTATTGTAATAAGAGACAGTACAGAGGGCTCTTGGCGTCCTCATACTTGAATTGCAACTAAGTTAATATTTAGGTACAGCAGATAATTACGAAGGGAAATGGAATGTTGGCCTTCATTACAAGGGGAATGGAGTGCAAAAATAAGGATGTCTTTTTACAACTGCACAAGGCATCGATAAGAAAATATTTAGACTGTTGTGTACAGTTGTGACCTCTTTGTTTAGGAAAGGATGTACTTGCATTTGATTCTGTTCAGGGAAAGTTCACCATCCTAGCCCTTGGGATGAAGTGGTTATCGCATATTGTGTCTATTCTGATTGGAGTTTAGAAGAATAAGAGGTGATCTCAATAAAATATGTAATGCTGCGAGGAGGCTTCGTTGTATAAATGCTGAGAGGATGCTTTTCCTTATTGGGTAGTCTATAACTAGGGAACACCATTTCAAAATAAGGGGTCTCCCATTTAAGATGGAGTTGGGCACCTTTCTTGGCATTGTTAATCTAAGAATTCACTAGCCCAGAGTGGAGTAGATGCTGAATATATTCAAGGTTGATCCTTGATCCAAAAAGGAGTGAAGGACTATGGTCAAGGCAGACAGGAAAGTGGAGTTGAGACCATGATAAGATCACAGTGATCTTAATGAGTAGCAGAACAGGCTGAAGTCCTACTCCTCCTCATAATTTTTATGTTCTTATGTTTGTATGCAACTCCACAAATAGAACCAATTTGTGTAATTTGTGTAAGTCAGTAGCATACATAATTTAATACCATCTAGCTTATCAAATGGTTCATGGTAAGAGATGATGAAATATTATGAATTTCCTCACAGATGTCTTCATCCTGCTGCTATAACTTTATTGGAAGTTAGGTTGTCACCCAGTTCACTGGCTCAGCTGGATTTCAGGTGCATGTTCAGTGAATTTACAACATCAGAATTGAGGAAGGGTCACCAGAACTGAAACGTTAACTCTGATTTTTTTCTTCACAGATGCTGCCAGACCTGTGAGCTTTTCCAGCGACTTCTGTTTTTGTTCCTGATTTACAACATCCACATTTCTTTCAGTTTTTATTTAATAATCATTTTACCTGGAGCTGTAAGGGAGCATCTGAATCCTCATAAATTCTCCGTGCTACACCATTATTTTCCAGTGCCATTTTTTCCAGAAATCTATATTTAACATCATAACCAAACCCAAGGCAATACACATTGTACCTGCCATTGATGGCATTTTTAACATTCTCCTGGATTTTTGTTGGGTTTGATTCTCCTGTAATAATAAATGAACAAATGTAATTTATTTGTAACCAATCATTTAGAGAACTCAGTTCGCAGTCTGAATGTGCTAGTCTAAGATAAAATAAAATCATGAATCATGTATTTTTATTCTTCACAGATTTGTGAGGGGTTCAATCAGGATGATGAGAAGTGGAGACTTGATTACATTACGAGCATTAGTGAATAATAATTCCTTTATTTAAAAAGGAAATGAGATAGAAACCAGGAAAGTGCAAGCCAATTAGCTTAATGTCTGCCAGAGGTAAAATGTTAGTAGTTATTGGTAAAGATGTTATGGCAAGGCTCTTTGAAAAGTCCTTTGCAATCAGGAAGAGTCAATATGGTTTTGTGAAAGGGAAATAATGTGGGAAAATATGAAATTGTCCACTTTGGCCGGAAAAATAAAAAAAAAGTATATTATCGAAAAGGTGAGCGATTGTAGAGGTCTGAGTTGCAAAGGTATCTAGGTGTCCTAATACATGAATCATAAAAGATTATTATGAAGATTTAAATAATTAGGAAACCTATTGAGTGTTATTATTTATCGTAAGAAGGAATTGAATCATAAAGTGGTGAGGTTATGTTTTAGTTTAGGCATTGGTGGGACCCACATCCGGAGTATTGTATGCAATATTGATCTTCTCATTTGAGGATGTAAATACATTGGAAGAAGCTTGACTAGAATAATACCTTGAATGGGCAAGTTGTCATAGGAGGAAATGTTTGACGGGCTGGAGTATCTGCCGATGTTTAGAAGAGTAAGCGGTGACTTGATTGAAACATGTAAGATCCTAAGGGATCTTGACAGAGTAGATGTGAAAGGATGTTTCCACTTGTGGGAGCATCTAGAACTAGGATTCACTGCTTAAAAATCAGGGGTCATCCATGTAAATCAGAGATGAGAAGGATTTTTTTCTCAAGGAGGTTTGTTAGTCTTTGAAACACTCTTCCTGAAAATGTAATGGAAGCAGAGTTTTTGAATATTTTTGTAGAAGAGATAGATTCTTGGTAAGCAGAGAGGTGAAAGGTTATTGGTGGTAGGCAGGAATGTGGAATAATTAGATCAACAGTGATCTTATTGAATGGTGGAGCAGGATGGAGGGGCTGAGTGGTCTACTTCTGCTCCTAATTTATCTGTATGTTCATAGTTGTTTAGGTTCCATTTTTGAAATGACTATATATTATATTACAGTGCTTTTATCACTGATGAGGAAACTATATGACATACTTCAGAAATAATTTAGTCTCTATTGGATAGCTGAACTTCTACGTTAATGCACAAATAGTTATTAGAAAAATCTATCAAACCACTTGCATCGATCTCATTATTTTAACCCTTGGTATAGTGTGTGATTGAAGCCCATTCTTCCCTCAACCTGTTTTAAGTTGACCTGTCTAATGGGAAAATGGAAGGAATTTATGTGTCCACAGTGTTAAAGTGAGACTCTAACAGCTCTGTAACAGAAGGTTCGCTCTGTTAATTTGAGAACCATGATTTAGGCTAACTGAGGGAGTGTCACAGTCATCTGAACTTCCATTCAGATGAGAGACATTACATTATCCCAGATGGAAATAAGGACCCCTCTGGCATTAATGTGAAGGAAAGCAGGAGAATTCCAACCAGAGTCCTGACCAATATTTATCTTTCAACCAATACCGCAAAACAGATCTTAAGCCTCTGATCATCAAGCTGTTTGTGGATCTGTCTCTGAGGAAATTGGCACTTTTAAACTTCAAAAATAATTATTTGTCAAGATTTTTGGGAGGTGTTGTGTTCATGAAGGAGCTACTTGAGTTCAATACCTGAAGGAACAATGTTTACGTTCTTCCATCCCTAATAAATTAAAAGCAAATGGGAATAACAGATATTTGCATTAGGTAGTGAGGTCTGGGAGATTTATAAAGCAGATTCAAATTTTTAACATGGACAATTCACTAACTTGGCAATTTCTAGAAGGAGACTTGACTTTTTCACTTGTCTTTTATTATCTAAGGGCATCAGTAATGAAATGATGCAATAATTTCCAAGAACATTTCATCAGCAGCAAAGCAATCATTAGAATGCATAGCCTTATATCTTCCATAATAAAACAAAGAACTGCAGATACTGGAAATCTGAAACGAAAACAGAAATTGTTAGAGAAACTCAGCAGTTTTGGCAGCATCTGTGGAGACAAAGCAGAGTTAATGTTTCAGGTCCAGTGATGCTTCTTCAGACCCTCTCGTTCTGAAGAAGGATCACTGGACCCAAAACATTAACTCTGTTTTCCCTCCACAGATGCTGCCTGACTTGCTGAGTTTCTCCAGCAATTTCTGTTTTTGTTTCTTATCTCATCCATCACAAGTTTATTGTGCCCCTGTCTAGCTTCAAGCTTTATTCTGCAATCAGATTTTCAAAAGACAGAAATAAAAGGCATTTATTTTCACTAACCTGAATTCGGATCACCATCAGTTAACAAAATAATCATGGAGACACTTCTTTCAGGCAGAAGCTTGTCTTGATGGGACTTGTCCAGAAGTCCTACTGCTTTCAGCATCGGAGCATTTATATCTGTTCCTACAACAAAAGGTTGTCTTGGCTTTTAAAATTCTGCAGAAATTTACATGGTTCTATAACACCACCATAATATAAATTAAGCAACCGAATTTCATTCATTAAAGTGTCAGTTGTCTTCCTGTTTTTTTTAATAAAGAACATTTCACTGGGACAAAATTGCAAAATGTGGAAACATGGTTCTCTTAGAGTATCAGGAAATCCTCCAGGTTTTGTACCAGTTGCTCAGTAGGATAACCACTTAATAAGAAAATGTACCTGTATAATCACCATTAATTTGATTCTTGTCCCATTGTACTGTCATGCCACTTGGTGTTCATACTTGACACAATTAGACTCTTAATTCTGGATTTTAATGAATTTGAATTCCATTATTAGCCATGGTGGGCTTTGAACCTGTGTCCCCAGAACACTACCTGGGTCTGTGGATAACAGTCCAGTATTAATACCACTAGCTGTCATCTCCCCCAGTCAAGAATCTATCTACCTCTGCCTTTCAAAGATTCAAAGGTTCTGCTTTCATCATCTATTAATGAGAGATCTGAAGACTCACCACCCTTTGTGAGAAAAAGTAATCACCTTATCTCTGTCTTAGATGAGCTACCCCTTATTTTTAAACAGTGACCGCTCCCCTGTTCTAGATTTTCTTACAAGACAAAACATCCATTTCAGATTCACCATGTCAAAATCCCCCAGGATCTTACATGTTTCAATTGATTAATACCATTCTTATATTATTATGGTAATGTAATTAAAACATATAATGCAATGTCTTGTTCTATTTCTTATTAATACTCCCTATATGTATATTGTTGTACAATGAATGTAGTAATCTTTACCTCCTCTGGCTGAAATGGTTTGTACAAATATTTTAGCTTCAGCCACATTGTTTGGAGTTGCTTGAAACATGGAGTTTTTCCAGGTATCAGAAGTATCATCAAATATAATAATTGCAAAGTGATCTTTTGTGTTCATATCATCTAAAATTTTTAAAAGGGCTTCATTTGTCTGGAAGAGACAAAACATTAGTTTGTAACTGTAATTTAAGAGCTTCAAATTTAACAATCACATTAACCATGGAGCCACAGTGAGTTTTCGTACCATTTTCTGACACAATGACACACATCTGCGCACAAAATGATTTAGATTTAAATTAGATTTACTGTCACATGTACCGGAATATAGTGAAAAGTGCAATGAGTGACACAATGCAATACTAATTTTGACCAAACAATTTGAAAATAACTTTCACTGATTTAGATTTACAAAGCATGTTATAGAGCCATAGAAATTGTCATTATTTACTCTCTATTTCTGAACTAAGAATGGGTAATTTGCCACTGAAATCTACCTCTTTAACCTGGTGATATTTGCATCTAAATAGATGGTTCAAGATTCACAAAATGAATAAAATGTGCATCAGATGGCCCCAAATTTTAGCTTGTAGTATGCAAACAAACTTTGGAAATGAGTAAGAAACAGAGAACAAAAACCACAGATCATCTCAAGTAGCATGAAATTAGTTAGCTAGACGAAGTAGCTGTAGAGGATAAAGAATTGTGGTTCCGACAATGTGTATAAGACTCCCTTCTAGTGCAATATTTCACATGTCCACAAGGGGGGATTTACTGCTGGATCCAATAATGGGAATAAGCCAGAGCAAATTAAATAAGTGTAAGTAGGAAAACATCTTGCCAATAATGACCATAATATTATATATTTAAATATAATAATTAGGAAGATGTAGTTAGTGTTACAGGAACATAAAATGAGAACAGGGAGCAGAAGACACCATACAGTCCCTTGAGCCTGCTATATTGTTCAATACAAACATGGATGATCTTTGCGCCAACTCCACCTTCCTGCCTCCTCTATGTATTCCTTGGTTTGCTAGCATAGAGAAATATCTATGAAAATATAATTCCCAGAGATGTTTTCCATAGTAAATAGTAACATAGGTGTGTTTTTTTTTAAATTTCATTATGTCACACTGCGGTCTAGGACCACAACTCACCCTCCCTGAGTGGTTAGTCTACAACCTCCAGCAAATTGCTGTCAGGCTCCAGCTCCAGCGAATGCTACAAAGTCACAGTGTTTCACTCAGTTGTTGGCAGATGCTAGTAATCAACTGTGCTCACAGTAAGCATCACTAGACCGTAACTTGAAAATGATGCCTGACCACAGTACTCACAGACACAACACCCCAGACGTATACAATCAGACCCCACTTCTCCTCTTGAGTGTTGACAGAATACAACCTTTCCCAAGTATTGCCAAACTCATTCTCTAAGTGGCTGTCATGTTTCGATCCCTCTCTAGTTGTGTTCAACTGTACTTTAAGTGTTGCTACATTGCCAGTCTCAGAGTATTGCTAGACCTTTCAGTAGTTTCCAGCTTTCTATAAGTTGCCAACTCATAGAGATTCAAAAGTTTAGTCCTTCCCTTATTGACACAAGCTAGGAACACCAAGTGGCAACAGTTGCAGATCTTCCAGGGGCTCTAGACCTTCCAACACTGTAGGATCCTATTCTCCCTATCAGTTGCTGTTCAGAATCCAACTAAACCCCCAACGGACTACTTCCAAAACCTTTAGTTCTAATAAACAACAGAGCCAAGCTCTGCCAAATTTTTGTCACAGTTTTGTTATTTTACATCATGTATTTGCATAGTTTCAGTGTCACAGATCACTTAGTTATGAAGATGCTTTATATTTAATATTGCTCGGAGAAGACTTAAATTTTGAAAGATTTGCAGAAAACAGAATTTATTTCAAGTCTCATGATCCACCGGAGTGGATTCTCCAAGCAGTGTGTGTGTGTTGCCAATGCCAAGGTGCCCACTACCTGAAAACATGCAAATGGAACCAGTGACACAACACCACTGTGATAGGGCCATGGATGTAAGAATGCAATTTTCAGTGATCCACTACACCCAAGCGGACAACATCCTGCTTTAAATTACGGAAGGATGGGGATGCCCCCTACCCCGCCCTTGGACTGTGATAGACTACTGAACAAGTGGGACCCTCACAGCCCAAACTGTTCGGATTGAGACTAGAAACATCAATTTATACAAAATATTTAAAAACAGTAACAGATTACTCAACTCACCACCTCATATTTCGCTTGGGAACCCTGCAGCCCAATGGTATCAATGTGGACTTCACAAGCTTCAAAATCTCCCCTCCCCCCACCACATCCCAAAACCAGCCCAGCTTGTCCCCGCCTCCCTAACCTGTCCTTCCTCCCACCTATCCCCTCCTCCCACCTCAAGCCCCACCCCCATCTCCTACCTACTAACCTCATCCCGCCCCCTTGACCTGTCCGTCCTCCCTGGACTGACCTATCTCCTCCCTACCTCCCCACCTACACTCACCTTTACTGGCTCCATACCCGCCTCTTTGACCAGTCTGTCTCCTCTCCACCTATCTTCTCTTCTATCCATCTTCTATCCGCCTCCCCCTCTCTCCCTATTTATTTCAGAACCCCCTTCCCCTCCCCCATTTCTGAAGAAGGGTCTAGGCCCGAAACGTCAGCTTTCCTGCTCCTCTGATGCTGCTTGGCCTGCTGTGTTCATCCAGCTCTACATCTTGTTATAACAGATTACTCAACTCCAAATCCTTTTTGAATGTGTTTCCCCCATTCCCTGGATACTCTACCCTGTAGTGTGATCAAATGGGCAGAGCTGTCTTTGTTCCTGGCAACTGCTTTGTTTCTGTGAGAGCATGGTTGTGGTGGTATTGTCATTAAACAAATATTTCATGAAAAGAGGTCAATAGGAGTCACTGTGGGCATTGAATTTGTTTTATAAAAGGCTTCCTTGCAATTACATGACTGATGATAACTGCTTATTTTGCTGTATACCCTGCTGGAGCTGATTTTAAACAGTGACTGGCTTGGAAAAGAATCTTCTTTCTCTCTTATTGGAGAAAAACCTAGTAAGAAACAAACTGAGTTGGAAGAAAACGTGCTTTGAGCAAGCTGTGCAGCTGATCCCTCGCATTTCTGAAAAGAAAACCATCTATATCAGTTCAGGGTGAACCTATTTCTTTTGGAAGAATGATTTTTAAAAATCTCAAGATTGTATCCCTGAGCAGGTTGAGTCAGCAAAATTTCCTAGACAATTGTACATGATTTGGAGGTAGCAAGAACTGCAGATGCTGGAGTCAGAGACAACACAGTGTGGAGCTGGAGGAACACAGCAGGTCAGGCAGCATCAGAGGAGCAGGAAAGTTGATGTTTTAGGTCGGGACCCTTCTTCAGAATTTGTGACTTGTGACTTGACCACATGTGCCAGAAAATTAGTACAACAAAACCTAGAACATCCTATGTTTATCCTTTTTCTTTCAAGAATAGCCTCTTGACCAAAATATTTTTGTTTTCGGAAGGCCAAGCACTATTCTGTTCTTTTTCTGTCTGCTCAAGGAGTGTGTATGTGTTTTCATGTGTTTTGGTGATGTTTATGAGGATAAGTTTTTTTTTAAATATTACAGATTATATGTTAACTAATTCTTGCATTTTTATTGAATATGTTTTTTTTCGATAATAAAGCCATAATTGTGTTTATTAAGAATCCTGTTCGATAAATCTTGTTTAAAATCTGCTATAGCTAAGGTATTTAATTGGTCATCTTGGTAACTGGAAAAACTGTTTTATTTTGTGACTTGTGGAGTAATGGGATGACAGCAATGATGCGCTCTCAAGCCTCAGCCATATTAACAAGTGAACATTGTGGAATAAATCCTGAAACATGGGATTAATATTTTTTAGGTGGAATTTACAATCAGGAATGCAGCTCTTCCTGTGCACTATTAGATTAAAGGATTGCACAAGTTGGAGGTCATAATTATAAACCTGTGCTCTGTATAAGGTTTATTGAAATATTATACCTATTGCTGCAAACAGTCTCCTGTCAATACATTCAGCAAAACTTATCCTTTTAGAGATGACAGGCTGATTAAGTGCACTGCAAAGGAGTTTATTTAATCAAGATTTAGAAGTTAAAAAGACAGAGGGTGGAACATTGTGGGGGATGAGTGACGTGGGATTTGGATGGATTCGTGGTAGAGTTCAGTGAGGATTGGAGAGGCCTTTCTAAATGTCAGGAGCATCTTAATGCATCTTTTATGCATTTCTTCAGCGAGAACTTAGTGTTGCCGACCCAGCTCCTGTACTGGACCAGACTACATCTCCAGTTTCTTTGTTTGCTGTTAGTGCTCACTCACTTTGACCCTATCTGCATGCTCACAGCATCCCTGCCTTCTATTGCCTTGCCTCGCCTTTTTCCATTTTGCCCCTGACTAGAGATAACAGGCTCATATTACTTCTGTCTTGCCTTGCTGTTTAGCACAGATACAAAGCCAAGAAGCTAGTTTTGGTTGTCAGCAGTCAGACAGCATGAAACAGACCCTTCCGTCCAGCTCATCCATGCCGACCAAGTTTCCCAAGCTAAACTAGTTCCATTTGCCTGCATTTGGCCCATATCCCTCTAAACCTTTCCTATTCATGTACCTACACAAACATTTTTTAAATGTTGTAACTGTACCTGCATCTACCACTTCCTCTGGCAGTTCATTCCACATACGAGCCACACATAGTGTGAAAAAATTGCCCCTCAGGCCCCTTTTAAATCTTTCTCCTCTCACTTAAAAATATGCCCCCTAGTTTTGAACTCTCCCAACCTAGAGAAAAGATCAATCCTCAGTCAAATCAAAGGAGATGGACTTTGTGTAATTCGTACCAGCATAGTAAATCAAAGGCAGCCTCAAATACCTGAACAGGATCTTGGACATTGTCAGTGAGGATGTTTTCCAAGAAAGGAATAAGGAATCATAAGTCAGGCTGCCCATCATCCTCTTGTGCCCACATTTGGAGATGACACAAGTATGGATGAGGAGGATACCAAGAGTCCGCAAAGAAATATAGAGGTTTTGAAAAAATGAAATAACTCTGTTCTGAAGAAGGTTGAACAGACTCGAAACATTAATTCTCATTTCTCTCCACAGAGGC